AGCGGAGCCGGGTTAATCGGCTTTGGGAGACTCAGCCTTGATGCAGACGCTGATGGGATTGGGTTGGGCTGGGGGCGAGGGGGGAATCCCGGCTGCGAAGGGGATAGAAGTGCGTGGGGTTTGAGCACGGCTTTGCCCCGAAGTGATCCGAGAGCTGGAAGGGAGAGGTTTAGGACATAGCCTCGAGTTCAGGATTGCTTATTGCAGGTGTGTTTTTAGGGCAGGGTTTCTAGAAGCGCCCTCCTTCTCTCGAGCCACTTCGGAATTGTCCCCAGCTCTCTGAGTACTTTACTCATGTGGTGGGGCTGTAATTGCCTTGCCCATTAGCAGCCGGGTGCTCCTCTGGTTACCCGGAAAAGTGTCAGCACCCTGCGTGATCTGGTCAGCCAAGCACGTTCCGCGTGTTGGTGTGTAATTTGACTTGTTTGCATCGATCCGGGTCCTGATAGGAGACTTCTTCCAGTGATTGCTTTTTTCATTACTCTCTCTTGATAAATTAGAGCTATAAGTGGATATACAGATGTGATAAGGCTCTCCTGGATTTTTTTAAAGACGGGTGGGGAGCTCAGTAGATTTACTGGTGGAAGAATGCTGAATTTAAGGAAGGAAATACCCCTTAGTCAGTAGAAGTTACTACTTGTCATGGAAGAGATGTGTTGATGGTTCATAGCTGAAGATCTTGCTTTTGTGCACTTTTCTACCTATTCCTTGGCCAAATGAAACTTCCTGTTCCCAAATCCATTTCCACGGGGGAAGGGAAGAGGTGGTTAAGGGGAAAAAAGCACTCTGTCATCTAGTTTGTTAATTTGCTGCATTGGGAGTGTAACATATCATAATGTCAAACAATGGGAAATGCTTACATTTTATATTATTGGAAACTCGTGTATGGTTTTCATAAATCTTGCTGCAAAGAGGCTTTAACATCTTGAACAGACATTTCAGAGGTGGCCCATGAGAATTTTGAATAACTGTCTGTAAGCCCATGGGGTGAGATTGCTCAGGTGGTTGTTGATCAGCTGGAGTAACTTTTTTTGTGATATGGGAGATCACATCTTTTTGTTTGGCCTTGGAGAGTCTGACTTCTTGAATTCATGAGCTGTATGCCAAGATCTTTATATGTAGGACATACACCACCTACTTCAGGAGGTTTTCTTCTCTGAAGTCATTAGATTTTAGGTTAGACTGTTGAGGAGTCAAAGCGATTGATCCTTGAGCTGGGACTGTCTCATTTTATTGCAATTCTAGCTAACGTGTTTGCACCCTCAGTTGATCACTAGCCTTTGTGTCAACATAAATTCAGTGCTGGCCTCTTGATTTAGGTCTTCTATGGGACCTCACTTTTCTGCTTCTGGACAGCATAGAAGTTGTAGGTCTGGACTGGCCAAGCAGCTAATTTAAGATTATTCTGTATGTATTGTTTTTTAGAAATGACATTATGTCATTTACATTGAGGTCAATCCTAAAACAATTTTTTCAAGTAAAAATCTTCTTATGATTAACTAAAGTGTCTGTATTTGTGAACGTGAAATTCTGATGGCAATTAGGTATTATCTATCCCATCATAATCATGTGCACTGAGGTTGATAAACTCCAGGCATAAGTTTTTTCCTGTGCCTTTCTGATGCATGAGTTTTAATAGTACTGTGAGATGGGACAGCTAGTGTAGGATACCCGCTGTAAAAGTTTTTGCAACACTTGATAGGTAATATAAGATTGCGCTTAAAAATACTTCAGTAAAGATAGTGTGAAGAAGCACTTGGTATTTACTGTGGAGATGTTTAGAACGGTGTGGTTATGGTCAGGCAGATCTTTTTGATTTTAACAAGAGTCATATACTCATGTTTAAGCATATATTTTGCAAAACCGAAAAGGATTATAATTGCTGAGTAATAATATTTTTTTTTCCTGGTGGTTCTTTTTTGTGTCAACCCACTGTTTGATAAACTGCCAGACAACTTCCTAAAAATTCTTACAGGTTTTTCTTGCCTTTCCCCATGCCTGTTAGAAGAACTCTCGGGCTGTTGCTTCTTTTCTTGTGTTTGGTTAGTACAAAACCAATAACAGGTAACTTTTGTCAAGAGACAGTTTGTGCCTACACAAACCTAACAGGCATGTACATTTATAATCTGTAAAAGACCAGTCTGGAACTATGTTGAAGAAGTTCTTTCATCGCAGTCCTGTGTTCCGTGACTTCCTTTTTTGTATCCAAATTCAAGTTTTGCTTCTGCTGACCCACTTACATTTTTTGCATCTTAGCCTTGTTCAGGCTCTGAATATTAGAAAGCAATATATTGCGTTTTGCAGTATTGGCAGGTTGTGTGGGTACACTGAAGAGTGATATCCAGTATTTTTAGTTTGTTAACCACAGTGCCTTTTGAGGTGATCTTACAGGAGCACATTCTGTCTGCAAAGGGTTGGTGCTTTTATGTGCTTCATTGATCCAGTGTTCATACAAGTGATGGCAGAACCCTTAGCCCTTCCTGTAGTACTGCCTCCTAGTCTTGTATCCCTTTGAGCTTCCTTGGACTTCTCTGCTCTACATCACCACTCCTGTGGTTCCTTGTGCTGTACGAAGTCTTAATTACATGGCTGGAGATTGTGGAAAAGCACTGGAAAATACCTTTGCCCTTGAGTGGTTTAGCCACCATTCTTGTTGCAAAATGGATGAGGTTGAAAGTGTGTGGTCTTTTTTTTTTTTCCCAATGTCTTTGCAGTAGAAGTAGAACTTGGTCTTTTACCCTCATCCATGCCTTAAACCGCAGTCAAAGTCTTACCTGACTGAATTATATAGGGTTTTTATGCATGCTGAAGTAACCTACGCTAACTGCAATGAAGATGTGCCCCAAGCTATACTCACCATTAAACAGAGATTGAATCTAGTACTTCTGACTTCTTCTTCTGTTGTGTAGAATACAGCAAATACTTGCCAGCAGTTGAAAGGTGTCAAGTCTTATAGTAGCTGAAGTAAGGAGAAGATAGAAATTATCTCTTAAAAGCTACAAAGACAGTCTCAGACATACAGAAGGAAGTTGTAATGGTAGTAGTACTTGTTTATCATTGTTTCTTCTACAAACTGGTTGATTATGTTAGCACAACCTGAAAAAAACTAATTAAATTTAAAAATGATGCTAATCTAGAAACTGTAGCGTTAGACATGAAAATCTTTTCTTCACGTTTCAGGTACTTGTATACATGTTCACTTCTCTATATGCCAATTTAATATCTTATATACAGGATCAGTGTAACTGAATGTCTTCAGTGGTTGATTCAACCCCCCAACACTGGCAGCAAATACATAGTTTGTAGCTAGATGTAGGTTGTATGATGTAACTGTGTTCTGCATGAGAACGCTCTTCGCCTATCTGACAATCCAAATTTTTGTTTTTGAAAGGAGTAAGACTTGTGGAATCATGCTGAATGGCTGGCTATTGTCCTTTTCCTGCCTGTCTCCTGCCTCAGGGTACTGTCACCAGTACCCTTTTGCCTGTTTCAGTCACATTTGACAAGGGTGAAGAGGTACTTAAATTCAAACAAGCATGTGGGGAGAGGGGAAAAAGGTGGCTTAGATGAAACAGACTGTGGAACTCACCAGCTGAGGGAAGGTTGCAGTGCACCTAACTCGGAGCAGAAGGGCTTTAGAAAAACACTTAATTGCAGGGAAATTTTAT